AATCAAGAGGAAGAAGTGTTTTTTGATTAGAATCGGTCACTCTCGGATTACACACAGTTACCTGTTAAAATGTGAGAGTGAATCTTTATATTCTAGTTACAGTGCAGATCTTTTGATGCATCACATTTTAATAGAAAGCCTTTATTTTGGCAGTCTTAAATATTTTAGTAATTTTTATTTGATTATTGACCATATTTCTGTATTTCAGAAGGTCTGATTTTCACTTTTTGTTCTAAAACAGATTTAAAGTAATTTAATGCAATTTAATGTGCTATATATATAAGAATTTTATCCGATTTACTATTTTAATTAATTTTCTGCATCCGTTCTTCACAGCGTTACTCGTCCGTTTATTATTTTAATATATAGCATGAATTTGTTCTGTTTTATTTTTAAATCATAATGTTAATAATTTATCAACGATGTATTAATATCGTTTTTTGAAGTTTATACTGTCATTTAATAAATTGGAATATGCCCATCATACGTTTGGCACATCATAACCTTTTAGGTTGTGCGCCAGAAAATCCACCAAACGTTTCCAAATGCTTCATGCAGCATGGTTTTATAGTTTCCTTTAAATCCATTAATAAAATCAAGTTCTCATTTCTAAGAGATGAAATATCGAACCTTCATTTAAAGGTATTTGTGAAATTCCTTGTGAATGTCTTGCATATGTAGGGTAAATTCGCCAAAAGGTGTTCATTTGCTTCCCATTGTTTGGATGAAAAGCACAATTTTGATTGTACAGAAGCCAATATTGTTAAACGCACTAAATTTTCTTTCAGTTTGGTCTTCCTAGAAGCTTTATAAATCTTTTTACTCGGTAATCTAGTTAGTGTTGTAGTTTCCCCTTTCATTCCTGTTTGGAGGCATGGAAAAATCTGTTCCAAGCCATACTGCTCTTCTTTCGATGTAACATTGCCACTTGTATGCAAGCGTTGTAATTTTTACTTATTCTCTCATGATGCCAACAATTTGACATCGTTGAGCATGAAACTGCTGTCATCAATGTATGTAAGGTATCTTTTTCTGAACTTGTAATTATCTCTGTTCTCATAGTTAATTTTTTGGATATTCTGAAGTTTTTGGCCTTGAAGGTAGATGGGCACTTTTCACTGTGCCGTGGTAATCTGACTAGTATGGTGAACCTATGACACATGAATCCATTTTGGGTGATACACGTTTCTACCTCAACAGCTTCGTCATCACTGGACTAGTATTTATTAAAACTTAATCTGCATCTTTATGTGATTGACGAGATAAAAACCAACTGTGATCATTACTCGTACATCAAATACCCACATTGATGAAAGCACGCGTATACACTGCCTTCCAAAAGTAAAGGAACAGCATGTTTTTATAGTCTAATTTGAGAATGAAGCAACACAGAAACAAGAAATTGACAGGGCATGTTCAGTAAACAGTTCTTTAATGAATGCAACATAGAATGTTTCTCAAGTTCAACACAAACATGAATTACAACAAAAAATTGCAGTTTTGGTGGCAGAGAAATCCAGTCTTAGAGAAACAATATACCACAGTTTTTTGAGGAAAAATAGGGTGGTAACATTATCAGGTTCAAAGTTCCTTCTTACCTTCTTCGGGAACACACAAGGACCTGACTCGGAACAGAGAGCTTACTAAAGCTATGTTCACTAATTGTGGTAAGTAGACAGGATACACATGAAGGGTATCCAAAACCCTTTATTTTTCTCTATATACAATAAACTTTCCGTACTTCGGAATACACTGACCCGCTACTTGGGGTCTAACGTAAAAGTATAAAAATAAAACTAAACTCTAATTTAACTTTAAACTAATAAACGTGGAAGATTGGCCTTTATAAAAGGAAGGCGTATGTAGTACAGATAACTGAGAACACTACAATACGTTTAAATTTATCAAGAGGATTAAAACCTCTGGCCTGGAAGGCAACAGCAACTGCATAACTTCTAAGGTAAGCGGCCTGCTTTGACTCAACTGCTTCCTCTCTCTCGCTTGGCAAAAGGCCACAACTTAAATACTTGGCGTTCGCCAGACAAACTTTGCATAAAAACTTTAACGCTTATAATTCTGGTCGGAAGTAGAAAATAAGAAGTGATAGTAAAGATTTAAAATAAAATAAACGTTAGTAAAACTTAAGATCCTTACAACATTACAAAAATGTGTCCACGCCTAGCTGGAATACATTGGCGGCAGCGACGTTCCATGCTGTCAATTAAGTTGTCAGTCAGAGAAATGGAAAGCAACGACCAGACACGGAATAATCCTTGTTCAAGCTCATCTAACGACCTTGGAGGATGACTTAAAGCAGAAACCTGTCTCTCAAGGAAGTCCCAAAGATGCTCTATCGGATTCAGGTCTGAGCTGGCCATTCCATCTGTTCCATACCGTGACCCTTAAGATATTCTGCAGCAACTCGAGCTCGGTGCGGTCGTGCATTGTCATCCATCAGAAGAAATACGGGACAAATAGCAGCTTCATATGGGCGGACATAGTGATCAAGGATCTCGTCTCGATATCTCACAACGGTCAAAGTTCCTCCATGGAACACATGCAGGTCAGTGTAACCACCGAGAGTGATCCCAGCCCAAACCATTATTCCACCACCTCTGTAACTGTGTCTTTCTTTCCACTATGTGGGATTGGATTTATCTGGTGCATTGTTTCCTCCAGATCAGCTGACGACCTGAATTACTCTCCAGTGTGAACCTGGGCTCGTCTGTGAAAAGAACAGACGCCATTGGTGCCTGGTCCAGGAGACGTGTTTTCTTGCCCAACATAAACGGGCACCTCTGTGTCCTCTGGTCAAGGAGATACAAACAACTAGTCGTTTTGCGTACAGACCTGTATTGTACAGGCGTCTGCTCACTGTAATAGCTGAGATTCTTGTTCCTTTTGCCACTAAATTATCTGCCATGAGGTGAGGGCACAATAATGTTACTCCTTCTTTGGGCCGAAAGAGCTAAATAACGGTCTCCCGCAGGTGTTGTAACTCTAGATCTGCCTGGAACATGTCTTCTAGACACAGAATCCTCGGATTGAAACTGATTCCATAGTGGGTGGACCACACTTCGAGAGATATTGAGACGTCTAGCAGTATCAACTTGTGAGATTTCCATTTCTATCCATTCCATCGCCCGCCACCTCAACGAAGCCGGCAAACGACTTCTCCTGGACAATTGATAGAATATCCTGGATATTGTCCACGAAACTGTAATTACAACTGAAGATCAACACTGGTGAACAAAAATTACAATTTTTGCATTTTTTCCTCCAACTCCGATAAATATTCATTTGTATAAAATAAAAGTGGTAGCTATTGATTTTGCATATGTTTTCTTAAATTTCGTTGCTATCAGGCATATGAACTCTGTATTCAAACGTTACTGACATTTTTGTAATAGTGAGCTTTGAAAGACATGCAGTTTCTTAACTTTTGAAGGACGGTGTATAAAATCCCATACTGAGATATAAGCCTGCATTCATAAAAGTTTTTGCTGAAAAAGGGCCGCGCAGATGTTTATGAAACGTCAATTAATTAAAAATAGGAAAATTGTTAATTTTCTGTTTTTTTCTGTTTATTTTAAGCAAATTCATGAAAAAAGATTAAAATAAATAAATTGAAAGCAGGTAATTAAGTAACTTAAAATAAAGGAAAATGTTTTATTTTGGGATCCAGCTGAATTTAAGCTCTCTATCTATGTATGTATGTATACACATAAATATATCATAAACAGTGCAGACTCCGAAATCTGGACATGCAGTATCTTTAATAATCTGATATCCGAACCTCCGCCCCCCCCCGAAATAAATAACTAAGGTAATTTTAAAAAATTCCCCTCTGTACAATCTAGGAATGGAGAATATAATAACAGAATGAAACAGGTGTACCTCAAATGCGATTTTTCTCCGGACTAACTGATTCCTGTTTGTCAATTTCAGAGTCTGGCTAGAGAGTCTCATTGTGTCCAATAACTGCGCATTAATCGATGCCGTATTGATGCTGTCAGGATCACACTTTAGGTCGTTGAGTGGTTGTGTGGGATGAGGGCATAGACGGGGTTACTCCTTTTGACGTCCGGCGGAAACTGTGCGGGTCCTAAATTTTGCTTCTCGGTATATAGCTAAATTCCAAACATTTTGCCGTCTCTAAATTCTGTTGCCCAGAGCTTCTCCTAAATTTTAAAAAATATGCCTTCTTCCACCAGCGTCCGAGCGGTAAAGTCGCTGAACGCTGGCAGTTCGGTCCGAGGTTCGAATCCCGCGAACGGGCTGGCTGCATGGGCGTTTTCGTGGTTTTCCCCATGTGTAACGTGTATACGAGCCAGTTTCCCTTAGAAAGTCCTCCACGAAGGCACTCCTTTCCCTTATGCAGATAGCCCTGGTGTGCTTTGCCATAATTAAATAAACCAAACCAAACCTTAGTGCTAAGTGTTGGTCTAAATTCTGAATATTTGCCACCCCAGAATTCTGACACCCGATAAAGCCGCACCAGTTTTACTATCTCTGCCACCGGTCTCTCTAGGGGGTTAGCATTTTTCTGTCTGACTTAAACAATAAGTGAAGACGCAATGAGGAAATATCTACATGTCATCTTACTTGATCTAAATTAATGCACTTTTTTTGCCAATTTTTTTTGTGTTTGAAAATGTAGGTGAGACTATTATGCGGGGAAATCTACTGCACAATACTATACACGTTTAACGATTTTTTCTGCTTCAAAACGGGGGTGCGACTATTACGCGTGTAAACATAGTACTATGAAAAAGAATTGAGTATTATCTGTATAGCAATAGATTTAGATTCAATTTAATAAGCTGTGTATAACCATGAAACATTGCCTTATATGATATTTTCGATTTTAGAATAGACGATCCACTGTGTTACAAGATCCTTACAAAAGTAACAGAAAGTCGCGCTTCGTTGAGTTGATCATTGTAAATGATAACAAAGAGGTAAGTATTTCATATTTAAGTAAAAGCTTTTTTAAATTCTAAATTTTTCTATTGCTTAAAACTCTAATTAATGTGTTAGTTGTTTAATTTAATAATAATGGTTTTGGTAAGTACTGAAGTTAGACTATGTAGTCAAAAATGCAGTAGAACCTTTAACCTGGTCTCTATTAACCGAGGTCCCCGTAACCAAGTTGTCAGTCATATAAGGAAATCGTAGACAAATGTAGTAACATTAGAAATGGCACAGCAAAAATCAGTATTCTGTTATCAAGGATTTTTTTTTTTTTTCTTTCTCATCCGTGGCCATCCACATGCTACGGTTCGAGGAGCAGGGACGGCAGTTCCAGTCTCAGATATTTACTACATTAACCAAATTCTTGGGAACTAAAAAGATCTTCACATCATCGTACCATCCGAATTCCAGAGGACTTGTCGAGAGACTCCATCACTTTCTTAAACAGGCCGTTAGATGCCATACTTCTGTTCACTGGGTTGATGTTCTGCCCGCCGTGTTGTTAGAATTGAGAGCGGCTTTTAAAGAGTAACTGGGTTCTTCCAACGCTAAAATGGTCTACGGTATCAATATACGTTTACCTGAAGATTTTATAAACCCCAGAAAAAACTCATTTAATTTTGAGCCTCAAGCATTTCTCGAACATTGCGCGAAACCATAGCTTCATTATATCCTACACCCACGAGTGTACATTCTTCAAAACATGCGTTTATTCTCAAAAAGCTCACTACATCCGCACCTGTGTTTTTAAAGTGTCATGCATTAAAAAAGTCTTTGGAGACTGCTTATACAGGCCCACATCTGGTTCGAGGTCGCACATCCAAGAACTATCGGATACTTATCGGAAATAAAGAAACAGTGGTGAGCCTTGATGTTCTTAAACTGGCCCTTTATCTTTGCACCAAAAACTGTCAAGGCTTGTATTTCAGTCGCATATCACACCCTCTTCGAAGGCACCTACACCTTCATCCCTTGTGTCCACACCTCGAGTTGCCACTACATCATCATCTGGGAATGGATTCCAGAAGCAAAGTGCTCCTCAGCATATACGTTCTGGATGTATGGTCTGATTAAACCCTCGGTATCTTTAATTTCATTGGCACTGGAGGGGAAGTACTGTGGGGACATTAAATGAACTTTTTATTTATTTATTTCAAACCACGTGCCCGAATCTGTAGCTGTAACCGTAACGGACATTTTCGGGGCGCGTTCAGTCACGCTCCGTCGTCGCCGCGGCCGGTTGGATTTTCCGTCCGATCCAAATATCATCAATATTAATATAATGTGTAGTTGGTATGTTGTAATTGTCGTAATTATATGTTTTTGTTATTTAAAATCAATCTATTGCTTCATGTGCGTAGTTCATCATACCCCCCTCCAAAAAAAAAAAAAAAAAAAAAAAAAAACTAGCAAAGCTTCTCCATATATTTACTGTTTCATTTAGCTCAGCACGATGCGACGAATGATGTGGTTCCACCCGTGCTTCTTAAGGAATACAAGCCACACGAAATGCATAAGACCAATGAAACTGGTTCTTTTACAGAGTACCAGAGTACACATTAATGTTTAAATGTGAAACATTAGCTGTTTTTAAGATGCTAAAAGAACAAATAAAGAGACTCAAGTTGCTATTGGAAAGAGTAGGGAAACCTACTCTTTCCAATGTTTAAAATGTTTAAAATGAGTCAAGAATTTAACTTTCCAATGTTTTTCAGTGTTTAAAATGAGTCAAGAATTTAACTTACCATACTAACAAGAACTCATGGATGACGAGCAGTATTTTTACCGATTTCCTTTTGAAATGAGGCATAGAACTGGAAAACGAAAAAATAACTTTACTATTAGATAATTGTGCTGCGCAACTCTCTGATACTATTCTGAAAAACATTAAATTAGTGCTTCTCTAAGAACTCTAAGAACTCTTGAATTGAAAAATGGAGATCTGAAATGCTACCAAGAGTTTTACGAACTTGAAAATACAATTGAAAAGCTGTTGACGAACAGTGCGAAACAAATGCGGATTGAACAGGTCTGTGGGAAAGTTTAAAATTTTATCAAGTCTCTAATTATAGAATTTTTCATAACAAAGTAAATGAAAAATAAATTTATGAGTTTCTCAAATAGTTTAATTTTAGTATTAATTTTAATTAATAATTTAAGTTTTAATTACTCGATTAATTGTTAGTTACTATCTTATTAAATAAGTTCAAAGTTAATACCATAATTTGCGATATTGAAATGGCTGTTTATTGAACTCAACCACTTAATAAACTCAAATATGTTTGGAACGGAAGTGATTTTAATAAGCGGCAGGTACTCTAGTTAATACAACGCAACATTATTTTGTCATTTAAATTCCATTCCGTAATGATTAAAAAATATAATTATGTGACTAATAAATGCACATGTAATGACCAACGTATAATCATAATACTTCGAAAATACTTTCGTTTCACATAATAATCAAGAGATAATGAAATAACGCTGAAGAAATACTGCACACTGATAACCTTGCTACCTTTGGGAGGTAGCACATTGTATGTAGAACTTCGTAGATAACCTATAATTTTCATAGAAGCAAATCTGTGAGTTTCCTAAAAGCACTTTTTAGAGCTATCCAAGCCTATTACATAGATAATCGTAAAAGGAAATGCCATTGGGACTCTATAGAGAATATGTTAGAACTATATTGGAATATAGATGCCAATGTACATTGAAAATATTTTTAAGGAGACATAAAACCGTCAGTTAACTGTAACTCTTTTACAAAAGAACCGTAATAGTGGCTTATGCCCCAAAAAGATGCTAATTTTTTCACAGTGTTAGGAAGCGGATAACTAAGATTTTAGAATTATCTGTTTCTGTCCCTCTTATCGAAATTTTATAGCTAAGGTATCTGATTTCCTTAGCTGCGAATTTACATTTAGAGGTATTCACCTTGAAGCCGGCTTCATTTAAATAATGACAAAACTTTTTTCAAATGTTTTACGTGTTCATCAATAGTTTCACTTGTTCTAATCTTATCAAGATAGATAAAGTACTTTTATCTTGGACGATTCTTATGTCCATTACTTTTTGAAACGGAGCTGGAGCTCCGCTTAAGCGAAACTGTGTTCTCAAAAAGGCATCGCCTGATTTCGTAATGAATGCGGTTTTTTCCACATCTTCGGGCTTTACTGCTATCTGGAAATAACCTGACGTGAGATCAAGAGTTGTCATATAATTTGTAGATTTAATTTTTCGAATTATTTCATCTATAATCTTCAGGCGATACACTGGCTATTTTGTAATACTGTTTAATTCATGGTAATCAACGGCGAGCCTCTAAGATTTCGGATCTGAAGGCGGAAGGCCGTTTTTCTTTCTGCATAAGACTACCGGACTCGCGCAGAGGCTATTACTTGGCGGGATTATTTTATCAGTTAACATCTTGATGTGGTCTTTAATAATACTTTCTTTTACCATATCGTAATGGAAGGATTTTGATTTAACGGGGTTGGCATCTCCGGTATTTATTTCACGAGAAACTATGTGGCAGAAGCCAGGTTTCGTATCGAAAAGTTTAGCAGAATTTCTTATGAAGGCTTCAGTTTTCTTCTTGTTATTTTCCGACAGGTGATTCAAGTCTACTTCAGGAGCTGCTCCCACTTCTTCAGTGTCCATTTGTACATGTAAGGTAGAATTCTTAAAATTTAAGTTCGAAGTCGACCCCCAAGATTACTGACGTTAATAAATCTCTGACCACAAGAAAATTTACTTTTTGATGTTCATTCTTAATTGCATTGTGCAGCCCTACTTTTCGTAAGCATACACAGTGTTTATCTTGTGCAGAAATTACTCTTTGCCCCGTGATTTTAAATAGTCTGTACCTTCGAAAATGCTTTCTAAAGAATTCTTGCGACTAAAAGCTGCACTGCGGCCCGGTATCCAGTATTGCAGTGGTTTACACGTTGTACAGCAATACCTGAATTTCAAGCAAAGTCAAATTTTGTACCACAGCAGTATTTAATTTGATTTCTGAGCGATTTTGTTTCAAGAAGGGTGATCATACCCTCTTCTCGGACACCCTAATTAGTTTAAATTACTTTGATTCTCAGCTCCTTGCTCCTGTTGCTTCTTTTGGCGATCGCCGAATGACTTTGTTTGACCCGTCTTCAGGGCTTAATGTCTAAAACCATTAGTGCCAGAGCCCTCTAAAAGGCCGTCAGGAAGAAGGGAAAAATAACTAATATTTGACCGCCCGGTGGAAAAGTTGCTAGCGCGCCGCGCAGCTGTAGTCACCTGCACCACAGGTCCTTGGTTCGATACCCGGGCTGGGGAAGGTTGACTCAGCCTTTCATACCTTGAGTGGGTCAATGAAATGAGTGGCAGGTTCGTTTGGGGACTAAATACCGGAGGTCCTGCGACCAGCTGACTAGTTATCCAGGTCATATGCTGATGCACTCCGGCGCCCAAGGTCAAGAAAGCAAATTTCGGGGCACTGCAGGCCGTGGCCCACTAGGGCTGCTGCGCTACTGAGTTTAGTTTAACTAATAATTAAAATAATTAGATCGAAATTAAAATTCAATAAATATAAAGATATAAATAAAAATTTAACAAATTATTAAATTAATTATAAACAGTTAACTACTTTATCGGACCTCATCTTATTTGGGGCTGCGATTGGACTTAAATGTCAAACAAAAACTAAGAAATAACTCTTCCGGCTGAATTTAGATTCTTAATATGCAGTACAATGTACGATTTCAATGGGGAGAGGACATCTTTTTCCAGCTCACCAGTGGAAAAAAGTAAAACGATTAAAGCCTCACTGATAAAAATAAAGAGAATGCTAGAAAGAATATGAGAGTATGGAAAGAAATTTCAATGGAGAATTGTCGCTTTGAACACAGAGACGAGTCCAACACTTTCTGACCGCGATGATCTGCCAATATATTTCCAGCGTATAAAGTATTTCTTTTGCCTTCTTAGCGTGCCTTCGTGGTGTAGTGGTCTGAGCGCTGGGCGCGTATTCCAGAAGTCCGAGGTTCGATTCTCCGCGAAGGCTTTGCTTATTTTTCATTTCCTCTGCTTCAAAAAAAAAAAAAAAAAAAAAAAAAAAAAAAAAAAAAAAATCTAATGTCTCTCTACAAACTGTCAGGGAGAATGCTACCGAACAAAAACACTCCCCTCGAACCCGATTCTATGACAACATGTGGAAGGTGTGCATAAGTGACAATTTTTGTTCCCATATTAGGTTACATAATTCAAGTTTGCAGGATCTCTGAAATAAGAGGTCACTAACACTGGACGTGGAAGACCCAGGTAATCATTGCTAATACTTTCGGGAACAAAGCATTTTACCCTCTTTTATAAATTTATTACACTACCTGGAGAATAAGCCTTTGACATGTGGATGGGGGCTATTCTTTCCTTAAAAGACTTAACCTCCATCAAAATATTTGTTCCCTAGAAAAACCGCCGAAACTGTGCTTTTCTTATATAGAAGAAGTACTGGAGCCCTTTTATTTAGAGCTCTGGTGCGCTTCGGCTAGAATTAACTCCGAAACTGAGAAGTACCGGCTCGGGCCCAGTTTAAGCTCTGCCCGTCTTTTTGCTACCGCTTTTTTTTGGGGGGGGGGCTTCTCAGACTGCCGTTACGGATACTGCCTATTTTGAGGTCTTTGCTGGGGTGAAAATCTCGAGTAGTGGTTCTGACCGAAACTTGCCGTATGCGCTTTTTCTGAAGCTCGCCTGCTCTCAAACTAAATACCGACTTGAAATAAATTTTCCAACTTCTGTGGATTTCACACCTCCATTAAGTCCTGAACAGAAAGAAGCAGACGCTGTAATATCACTTCGATTAATTCGCTATCCCGACATACAATACATTTAGTATTTGAATTTTTGCTTAATATAAGCTTCGTCAGCTCTTCTGCCTAGACTTGATATTTACTGAAGAGCTCCGCTTCCAGCTTGGTACGGTCTTTCACGACTGCGAACGCCTTTTAGTAGAGCGTTTTTGAATGTATCCCAGCTGTATGTTTCAGAACCTGGTTCGCCCAGCAGGAATTTTCCAATTTCCTTGAACGAACTAAGGGCTTGTCCTTTTAGGTTTGCCTTGGCAGTTGCTACTGTTTGAAGTTCCGAAACACGTGAACTGAGGCTCCAGTTGCTCCAAAATGACATAACAGAACTTTAGCCACCAAAGGTGGCAGCTGGTTTCATCGCACCCCGCATGGTCTCGATGATGAATCCGAACCATTTCATCGGGTTTGCTGGTGCCGGCTGGATTTGCAGTCTAGGAGCAGCCAACGTAAATTTTCCAGATTCCAAAGACATGGTTTGATACTTGTGGCACCAATAATATTCCTCACTACTTGGACTATGCTGAACATAGAGGAACCCAGTGAATGGTGTAGTGACTTATAGCTGGGTTCACATGTATAAAAACAAAAGTTCAGAGAAGGGTTTAAATACCCTTTTATTCACTCAAAGAAATGATAACAGATGGCCTCTTACATGAAAGCCTCCACTTGGGCTTCTAAACAAGACAAGAAAATAAGAAACTAATCTAATACTGAACTAAACTAATTTAGCCAAAGGTAGCCACACATACCTAATGTAGTTGGCCCTTAATTAAATTAGCCGGCAGAATATCAACAGGCACATACAATATGGCCGAGCGTAATTCGCTGAATAATGAAGTAGCCCGAGGACAAACACGCGCCACTAAGGCCTCCTAAGGTTTCTTACTGAAGTAAGCTGAACCTTCCTTAAATACTCCTACCTCATTTACATTCAACTCGATTCTAAAAACTCATTCTGGTAGGGAATTGTAAGTGGAAAACAAGAATTGAAAGGAAAGGGTTTCAAAATTGAAAATAACTGTTATAAAATTAAAATACAGCATACAAGCTTGCTAATAGCTCGATTTGCTCTAATGGATTTTATTGCAGTGGCCGTATCATTGGCGTAGCACGCAAACGTAGTTATCGAGGCCTGGATGGGAAAAAGTCCAGTATGTAAATTAGGTAGAGCACTGGACCTAAGATACTGCCTTATGGGACACTTGATTTATTTTGTCTCAGACTTGAAGTTTCATATCTCAGTACAAAGAAAGTGTACTGCTTGAGGAAGGAGAAAATCAGATGTATCATATCTTTATTCAAACCCATGTGAATCAGCTAGAAGATGAGCCTCTCATGTTAGACACAGTTTGAGCCTTTCGAGAACTGAAAACGGCTTTTGTGTAGAAGTGAATGTGGCCATTACAAGAATTTGTCTGCTACCTTGTTAATAGTATGACAATATATTGTGTGATCCGAGTATCTATTAGATGTGACCATACATTTTTGTTAATCTCTTTAAGCCACGATCTTGCAGTATCATTTTGGACATTCCTGCTACCATAAGGGGATACTTTTACTGTTGTGTGAATAGTGAAAGAAAATACAAAAAATATATTTATTGCTCGTAAACAGTATGGCATGAAGACAAAATGATTAAATTTGTAAGCATTTTGGAAGTTTACAGGGGTGCAAAATTAGTAGAAACAGCTGCCATGGCCCTTACGTTAGACTGAGCAGGCCAGGGCAGCAGTCGCATACCTGTGTATCGAGGAAGGTCAGAACATGACGTGTAGCATGAGGTCTTGCAGTATCTTGTTGGAACATGATGTTTGGGGTCCTCGAAGATACGGTACAACCACTGGACGTAAGATGTCAGAAATGTACCCATCTGCGTTCAAATTACCGTCGATCCGAACTAGAGATCTACGTGTCATGTACCCAATGGTTGCCCAAATCATCACACCAGGTGCAGGACCTCTATGCGGATATCGAATGCAAGCAGGCGACTTGCGATCTCCTCAGACACTCCAGACACGTATACGGCTATCAGAATACTGCATGTAGAGCCGGGACTCGTTTGAAAAAAGGCGACATTGTGCCACTCGTGTACGCAGCTTTATCGTTTGGCTGACCAGAGTCGCCATCTCTCTCTATTCTGCATTGTCAAGGGAAGCCGAAATAGTGGTCATCCTGTTGATAGTCTATTCCAGCTCTGTATCAGCTCGCAAGGTGCAAACGTCGACGCACCTTACGAGCTGGTGCTGGGCATACTGCAAACATGCCCATTTTACATCACGGATCACAAATGGTTCGTGATGTGGTCGTACGGTTTTACAGGGCTGACCTCAATTTGTTTGTCCTCTCTGGCGTTAGTCATGGGAGGGCATTGAGATCCTGCATGCCAGTCAGTATGCCCTCAGCAATCCATTGATTCCATATTCGCATGACAATGGTTGGATGCCGACCAGTGCGGTCGGCGATATCTCGCAATGATAATCTACACTTTCGATAGGCAACGATCTTGCCTCTATCGAATTTCGAAACTTGATGGTAAGCATTTCCTCTTCTTATTCGAGGCATAACACCATATTCTGAGCAAACTCCAACCTTACAAAGCACTTTCCGAATGAGAAATCCACTACACAACTTTTCATTTGTGCAGTGCTTCAGATATCGTTTCTCACTCCGTCGTCTAAATGTGCTCAAATACTAATCATTTGCATATCCCAACTTCTTCCTTTCATGTGATTCGTCAGATCATTCCTGCCTGGTGTTGCAATTTTAATGGCCAGCAGTGTATAATTAATTACTTTCACTTTTTGTAATTATTGTATTTTTTACCCATCAGAGGCTTCTTTCCGAAAAGTGAATCAGAAATTAGAGTTTTAATTTTAATGCATTGTTTGCTTAGTTAGTAGTTTGTAACTTACGTTAGATGTTTTGCAATTAGAAGGAAATGACCATATGTGTTGGAATAAGGATTTAAAACATGCTTCTAGAAATCTCTCTAACCTTACAGAAACATAACTACTAATTATGTATGTTATTTCCTTGGTTAATATTATTTGAAGTTATAGCAGTAATTAAAAAATAATACACTCTTTTAAAAATATCAAACATGTTTTAGTAAGTTTCGAGTGTTGTTATTAAAAAGTAAAACGAATATTGCATTTTTGAATGTCTGAATATTTAAATGCCAAATATTTTAATATTTTTCTTCTTTTTCAGATAGTTTGTTGCTGTATTTTTTGTATATTTAGTTAATGTATGTAAGCTTGTGATTTTTTTTTTTTTTTCATTTATCTTTTAGTTCAAGGAATTCAATGAGGATAAAAATGCTGTTTTTGAAAGAAGCAAAGAAATTGCAAATATTGTTAATGGAGTAAGTGATAATTTTTTAAAGTAAATTTACTAAAATTTATTATATTAATATGAGTACAAAATTGTTTTAAGTTTTGGTAACTTTGATCTTTATCCTTATTAAATAGAAGTTATAAGTGTGATTTTGACCCAAAAGTTGATGTATTGGTGTATATTGTGTGCTAATCAAATATTTTAAATGTGCTCTGGGTTAAGGTTGCTTGTTGTCCAAGCTGGGAATGTCTCAGTAAAATTGTTCACTGTAACTTCTACCTTTGTTGTGTCATCTCTCTTTTAAACAGAATCTTGTTTTTTATGTTTTCTTAATGTAAAACTGCATGAAGTATAAAGTCATTTTCCTGATTTTATTGATGCAATTTGAAAAAAATATTAATCAAAATCTATATCTGTGTAAGAGATACCAAGAAATAATTTGAATTTTTTGTATATTACTCCTATCAAACTTGTTTCATTCTGTATTATATCGCTTGGTAAAACTAAAATTCCAAAGGATAACTTTTAAGGTGCTTGATTAATGCTTGAATGTTGTACCCTGTCTTCAAAGGACATCTCAAAAATGACTAAATCTAAAGTGGTAAAATATTTGGAAGCCTAGTCTGTTAAAAATTAATTTATGCTTGAATTTTAAGCTATGATATTTTAGCAATTTTACAATTTTATAGAACTGATAGTTTAGATTTATTACATGCTTTCTGCTTGAATAAATATGTTCAGTTAGTTGTTCATTAACTGTTTTACATCATTTGATAACTGACATGCCGTCAAGAAATTATTGTCAGTAGGTTTTTCTTTTACTATTTTTAATAATGGTTTATTGAGATTACAGCAAAGCACACTAGGGCTATCTGCCTAAGGGGAGGATGCCTTCGTGGAGGACTTTCTAAGGGAAACTGGCTTGTATGCACATTACACATGGGGAAAATCACGAAAACGCCCATGCAGCCAGCCCGTTCGCGGGATTCGAACCTCGGACCGAACTACCAGTGTTCAGCGACTTTACCGCTCGGCCGCTGGTGGGCCTCTCTTTTTAGTAATAAAATTTAGCTGTTAATTTTTACACAGCATTATTCTAAAAATTAGAATAAATGGCACTTTACTCCTTTTAATAGTGCATATTGTTTGAATGTAGTCAGTCAGCTTTATATGCAAATCGGATAAGTTGAGGTTGTGTGACCATTGCTCAAGAACAGAATTGGTCAATTTTTTACCTGTTTCCAAAAGGGTATAAGTGTATTGTTTTGTTCTTTAGAAAGTGATTTGTTAGAAAACGTTTTAATTTCTCTTTCTTCTTAGAAGCCATATTAATATTATTTTTTTAGCAAGACTGTGAAGTTCTCTTTGTGGTATATGAAAGGGTTTGAAGTAAAAGTACACTGCTCAAAATAATTGAAGAATATTGCGAGTTCGGTACGAAAGAACTGTATAATCGACAACTTTTTTTAAACAGAAAATAAATTGAAGAGGTTAAAAAGGAAAATTATAACGTTTAAAAAGTTGGGAATTTGCAAATTTTTTGTGTGACCTTGAAGACTATGCGTTTTAGATAGAGTGAAAGCGACCAGCAGCATTCCTTCTTAAGGTGGGGATTAAAAATAACTGATGCGTTGAATGTTTTGTAACAGTGAATACGATATTTGAACAAGACGACTTAGCTGAATCTGTAGCCTAGAGGGCCGTCAGTCGTTTACAGGCGGGTAAAATGCAATCCATGCAATCCATTTCCAGACTATGGAATCGGTTTTGGGAAACTATAAATGTTCGCCGAAGATCGGGACAAGGTCGTACGCCTTGTTCACAAAATGAGGTTCGGTATTTAAGACTAACGAAAGAAGAAACCGCACTATGAACAGCACTTTCTTGCAACAGCACCTTCAGAGGGCTACTGGTAACAGAGTTTCGACTCATGGCTGCACCATGTAGGTTTGTATGCTCGAAGACCTATGGTTTGTGTTTTGTTGGCACAGGGAAGAATCTCAGTTAGGGACGGGATAAGTGGAGCAACATGTTCTTCACGGGCGAGTCCCACTTTAGTATGCAACCTGACAGTAGGCAGTATCTCATCTAGATAGAACATGGTATACGGAATACTCCTGTATTTATGCATGAAAGTGGCCGATTTGGCAGAGGCAGAGTGATGCTGTATGGCGGTATTTCTATCAGTGGCTCCACCGACTTACATTATCAGGAAGGAAGCACTAACGGCTCATCGATATAGGGATGAGATCCTCAGATCTGGTGTGATCTTTTATGCTTCAGCAATCAAGAATTAATTCATTCTCGTGGATGATAATCAATGCCCAGGCCATATTATGGTCAGCTAGTGAACAATTTACTTTTTGGCACAAAAATCCGAATAGCATGTTCCCCAGATATGAACTCAATAGAACATGTTTGGGACATTCTAGGGAAAAGGGTTTTTAGTCGTTTCTCACCTTCAGAAAGAATTCAGCAGTTTGAAAGCTCTCTTTTACAGAAGTGGGAGAGAATACCCCAGCCCCTCATTGATTACATGCCTCGCAGGTGTGCGATACTTCTTCGGTCAGGTAGAACACATACCCCTTATTGAAACTCATATATATCCGAGAAATCACATTTTTTGTTTGTTTGTATAATATGCACAAATTGTGCCTTTTTTGTTTACCGACAAATATCGGGAATAAAATTTATTTATTCTTTTTTTTTTTTAATTGCTTCTTTTCTCATATCTTACAACACCTATACATCATATATCAGTCACCAAAACATTTCCTTATTCAAAGTTTATATCAAAAATCGTAATATCCCCCTGACTGTTTTGATCAGTGTATGTTACTGCACTAATTGTAAGCTTAAATCCGTAAGATGACAAGTGGTGCTTTATGGTATATCATTGCAGAGCATGTACAAACAGGTAATAAATATGTTAAAGATCAGTGTGCTGATTAGCTGTGAGAATTGCAATGCTATGTATTTGACTGTCCACTGTAAATGATATTCTTATGGTCCTTAAATATTAAAGAAGATTGTTATACAGTACAAAGTCTGAGATCCGGACTCGTCGGGATTTCGGCGATTCCGGATTTGGGATTTTTCCGGATAACAAATCATCAATTTAAATCTGGTAAGATGGCATGCAGAAATTATAAAATTAATTATATAGATAAATTAATTATATATTATAAAATTAAAAGTATGAAATCGGGATTTATGAAATAATGAACATTTAGGATCTAAAAAATATGAAAATTTACAAAAAAAAAAACTTAATATTTGTTTACTTTATTAAACATTTCTTTCAATGTAAGTTGTTTATGTTTCCTCGATTTTTGTGTTATTACTCTCTCTTTAACTATAAACAGACGTAATTTCTTGTTCAATTACAAAGTTCCACTGTTCAAGTCCTGTAATTGCTGTATCGAGAATTCTGACTAACTTGTCAATCGAAATTTTTTCGTTTTCAATAACCTCTCTTCCACTTTCTTTTCTATCGGTAGCGGAATTTTTCTGGATCTAGAACCATAGAGATTTCGCCGTCCGTTAATTGATTGATGATTGGGGCATTGTTATCGCAATGAAATACTTCGATTATATCATCTTCATTTATTACCGCTTATCCACATTTCTTTACAAAATCTTTTAACTGGAAAATTTCACCTTTTGGTTTGCGATATCCGAAAACCTTCAAATTCGTGGCTATCATCTTCGTCATCCTCACCATGACATATGGTAGCTGGCCATAAAATTAGGCTTTTCCAATTAACCTAATGTCTCTATCCTAATTTCCAATTAACCTAATGCCTTCGTTGTGTAATGGTCTGCACGCTCAGCGCGTTTGAGAGGTTCGCGGTTCGATTCCCGGCGAAGGTGTTGCTAATTTTTCATCTCTCCGGCTTGTCCAATTAACTTAATGTCTCTACAAACTTTTGTGTGTTATCTTGATTTATTAAATGTTCTTTGCACTTTAACCATAAAACTCAATTCAACAGCAATATTGCAAAAGAACTTTAAAATGAACATATCTTTAGAGAATTTCCAATACACAGTCTCGCACGCTGGAGATTTATTTATTTATTATTTTTTTTCCCCCGTACAGTTTTGCCATTGCTTGCTTTTAAATTGTTGAGTTTGTTAATCACAAATTTGTTGAAGTGTTACAAAAGATGAAATCGATAAGAAAACGAATTTCAAATTCCAAATTAGAGCTTTCAGATGCCCATATTCGGTAGAAAAGTACGTTATTCAAAATTTGATGGCTCTAGGTACCGTTGCTTTATCAGAATGCAAGAAACATACATACATTTAGGCAGATTCTTTATTATTTAATTTCTTTAAATATAACACAGGGCGGTAATATTTGGTGGCAACAACTTTGAAAGTAAACCTACATTTAAAGTTTTCAACGCAAAATGCCAAAACGAAATTAATAGCTGCTCTGGGGTCTACCTTTGGGCTAAAAAAAAAAGTTATTTGTCGTTTTGAGGTCCGGATTTTTCGGATATTGAACGTCCGGATCTTGGACTTTGTACTGTACTTATTAAAGAAAACTTTCTTATGAGTGTAACTTTAAGGTGGACCAGTAATACAAATTTTTGAAGATCAATTTATAATTAAAATGACTCTCATTTCCATAACTTTTTTTTAGAAAACAATGTATTCGTTAATACATACCAAAAGGGCAGTGTTTATTAGTATTCTTTATGTGCACACATACACAAAATAAAAGAATTCTAAAATATGGAGGGCCAGTTAGTAGCCAAAGAGTTAAATTAAGAAACAGCAATAGTCCATTCATCTCAGGTTCTGTTGCTGGAGGCTGAACAGGCTGGGCATGTGATGATTTTCTCGTTGTTTCCATACACAAATGTAAATATAATTTTTGCTTAGAATGGCCTCCATTCGGATGCATCTTTTTTTAGGCAGGTAACCCTCAAGTGATTTTCTAGAACTAACTAACCTATCTGAAATAGTATAAAGAAAAAATGATTGAAATAAATGGCAGAGAATTAATAAGTAGAGACAATAGGTATTTTGGAAGCAGGAAAGATGAAAAATTAACAATGCCTTCGCGGGGAATCGAACTGCGAACCTCTAGATAACGGTCTAGCTTGCAGAACCCTATACCACGAAGGCACTCTAGGAAGGCGGGAGAATATAAGCCCTTTTAGGGCGACTGGGGTTTTTAGGCGGACTCAATTGCCAAATACTGGGTGAGGAGAATCGTCATCCAACACCCTTTTAGTTTGGGCGCCACTGTACAGACATTAGGCATTTTGGAAGCAGGAAAGATGAAAAATTATCAATGCCGCCGGGAATCGAACCGCGGACCTCTGAATACCAGCCCAGCGTGCAGAACCACTACACCACGTAGGCACGCTAGGAAGGCGGGAGAAATACCTTATAAGCGCACTAGTCTGATTAATGTGGTGAAACAGCTCCAAAATATGATATATCTGATGAGGTAACTGTTGTTTACTTCTCTTCAGTTTAACAAAAATTTTGTTGCATATTGACAGTATGGGTTAGTAAAGTAGTAGAAATAAGGTTTATTTTGTAATGAGAAATACTGTTGCTTTTGTGCAAGCAAATTATACAAGATAACATTTTTTAGAATATGTGAAATTTGATTCGAAAACAATCCTTCTTGTAGAGCACTTAACACTTTTATGTAATGAAAAATACTTTAGGTTTTATATGCTTTTCTTCAAATTAGCTAAAATATTTATGAATTAAAATGCTTCCAGATTTAAAAGTGCTGTAGAAAATTAAATATTTAACTCTTATACCTGGAAGGAATTTTTATGGTGTACCTGTAGGTTAAAAATCAAGGAAAAATGTTCTTATATATTTTCTTATATATATGTTTTTGTTTTGTACGTGGGATTGTATTTTAATTCTCTATTTTTACTTCTAGTTGTATTCACCTTTAAATGTCTACATTGCTCTTGTTGGTGTAATAGTGTGGTCTGATCATGATGAAATAAAGCTGTCTCCTGATGGTGATGCTACTTTGACAAATTTCTTGCATTATCGAAGAGAACGTTTAGCTCAAGAGCATCCAAATGATAATGCTCAGTTGATAACGTAAGTTAGTTTTATTTTGTATTGATATTATGAAAGAGTGTTCTTTTTAAATTTTAAGTGTTTATACATGAAATATAATCACAATTATATTGTTTTAGAGCTATGACATTTGATGGAGGTGTAGTTGGAAAAGCACTTAAGGGGCCTATTTGTACTTATGAATATTCTGGTGGAGTTAATATGGTAAGCAGGTTCTAGTATATATATTTTTATTATGCTTTTGATATTGATGTTTGTGTTTTCTTCCTTGTATTTCAGCTTAGTAAATATGCATGAAGTTTCTCCCATTTATTTAATATTATTCTCATATACTTCTAATGTGATCTGATTGAATAACTCAGTATATGCATGTTCATTTCCTTTTGTATTTTGACAGTTTTTCCTAATTGATAATAATTTCTCAAATAGACAGAACATATTTTAATGATAATCTGTTGTCATCTCAGCAAATTCTGAGTATCCTGTACCTATATATAGAGAGCAATGAATGCTACTTATCGTTAATATGTCATTTAACTAATAAAAGTATTAAACTATGACACTTTTTGCATTCTTTAAAAGCCTGTTCTTAAGTTTCATTTTGAAATATATGTGGTAATAGAACAAAACTCAGAGTAGGTTTAAAAAGAAGGGTGTTGAATTGCTTTATCAGAAAACCGATGCCATACTTGTATTGATTTTTTCAAGATGATAAACATAAACATGGATGAAGTCATTCTGAACTAGCTACTGCATATATTATCACTTTTTGATGTTCTGTAGAAAACTGAAAAAACATCTTTTCATGGTAAAATTGAAGGCCATGTTACATTCAGTCTTAATTTTCTGTAAGAGTATTATGGTAGTAGATTGTTTTTCATGCATAAAAGGAAAAGGAACAAACCAGAATCTTGTAGCCCATTTTCATCTCTTTAGAATATTTCACGGAAAAGTATTTTTAATCTTACTAGTGCTGTCACTAGGCTCTTTTGCCATGTAGTGCAGTCTGCAAATTCAGCCTCTTTATGCCTCCCTGAATTCTAAGAATTCTGCTTCCCAGTGTCTCTCCTAAATTCTAAAAATGTTACAGCCCTGAATTCTGCTGCCTTGTACAGTCACACTTATCCTGGCAATAACCCTGAATTTTACTAATGTAATATTAAACTGCAATTTTAATTAATTTTCCTCAACTTGATAAAATTGCTTTTTAACTGTATTTTTTAAGTATTGATTAGATATGCACATGGGAATTTTATTAAAGCAACAATGAAAAGCAGCTTTTGTTGCCCCAGAGGAAAACAACTATTTAGTATTAATTGATCATGTTGTAGAGATATTAGGATATTTTTGAAACAGGAAGAAGTGAAAAATGAGCAACTTTTTCTCCGGGAATCGAACCGCAGACCTCTAGAATATGCACCCAGCATACAGACCACCACACCACGAAGGCATGCCAAGAAGCTGGGAGAAATACCTTATATACTCCTCCTTTTAAAGGGTTACTGGGTTTTCTAGGGGACCCAATCTCCAAATCCTGGATGCGGAGAGTCATCATCCACCACCCTTTTAGTTCAGACACCACTTGTAGAGACTTGTGTTAATTGGAAATGCCAGAGAGATGAAAAATAAGCAAACGCCTTCACCAGAAATCGAGCTGCTGACCTCTGGAATATGCACCCAGCATGCAGGCCACCACACCATGAAGGCATGCCAAAAAGGTGGGAGAAATACCTTATAAAATAAAGAGAAATATTATTGCCATTGCAGTACTTTAACTACGTATAGGTAATGAATGTCTGGCAAAGTTCCCTTCCTCTCACGTTTTCCAGGTAACATCTAAATACCAAAGGTAAAACTAAGTTATTCATGTTTGAATCTGGACAGAATGGAATAAATGTCCAAAAAGCTTTTATATTTTCCATATTAATAAAAATACAAGCTCCTTCCCAGATACAGCTTTAGGATTTAATCTCTCGAAAGCAAATAAATATGATATTTTTATTGCCTGTATGTTAGATATACTAAATATCTAATATAGTTTGGTATTTATTCAGATATAAGCTTTTATTTTTTATGTATTGCATGAATTACACAATGTTTTGCTGTTTCTTTGGAGAATAAGGAAATGTCGGAAATTTTGGACAGAATAATATGGCCTTGCCATTAACTGTAAAATTATGAAATTCCAGCTAGAATGAGGTTTTTTGTATTAGTACTGTAAATTCGGGCACGATTTTTTATATGAGTAATACATTGTATTGAAGCTTTTGCAGCCAGAAATCTTTTAATGTTAAATGTGATATTTATTATGTATTTGTTATCAGATGTTCAGTAAATTACATTTTTAATTTGAAATTGAAAAAAATTTAGGATCATAGTCATGTTGTTGGATTGGTTGCAACGACAGTGTCTCATGAATTAGGTCATAATTTTGGAATGGAACATGATACCGATGAATGCCAGTGCCCTGATGATAAATGCATTATGTCTCCATCATCAAGTTCAACTAGCCCCCGGCGTTGGTCTTCTTGCTCATTAGAGTATTTAGAACTTGCATATTCTCAGGGGATGGACTATTGCTTGAAAAACCGTCCAACTGATATCATTGGTCCTGTGTGTGGAAATGGATTTCTTGAAGAGGGTGAAGAATGTGATTGTGGGCTGAAAGAAGTAAGCATTTGCTAACAAAAACAAATAAAATATTTATTTATAAATGAACAAATTTTTTAATTAAAGTACAAATTTTTAGTTTTGCAGCAACCACTGCTGTAATGCAACTACTTGCGAATTGTACAGCAATGCCACTTGTGCAGTAGGTGGATGTTGTGATACTGAAACTTGTCAGGTAAAGTACATTGCTTTACAGTACTGTACTGTAATATTTAAATTACAAATGTATTCTTGTCAAACTAGTCAGGGATTCGAAAACCGTAAGTCAACAGTAAAAAGAAAATGAATGAATAGAAAGACTTTAGTTTGGAATATTCATTCCTAATAATGCTTTGAAAATATTTTGGTACAGATTAATGGGTGTTGATATTCAAATGAATAGCATGTGAGTTAGGACAAAAGTTAATTCATATAATTTTTATGTACTTGAACTTTTCATAGTGAAGTCACCCATATCTCCTGGGCATTCAGACACTGGCAGGTCTGCCAAATTTTTCTGCCTAGTGTTTCCATTTTCTGCTTAGTGCTTTCCCCCCATCACATTAGTGCATGACTCATTCATTTCAGAAGCAGTTAAATGACATTTTAATCATTATTTTGAAGTGACTAAAGTAGCTTTGTAATTTGAGTGCAATTTGTTTAGCACTAATGTTTAGCTATTGCTGCTCACAGCTGCAGTCGGCCTAAGGCCAAATTGCACACAGTTTGTGAAATCGCACTGAGATTCCCATCCAGATAAGTAATCACATCACTTAAGTATGTTATTGTTAATGCTGCAGCATTTTACTTAGCAGAGGGAAGAAATCCATTCCAGCAGAAATTCGTATGCAGAGGCATTTCAGATGTTTGAGAGTAAGAGATTATATAATAGAGTTAATTATAATAGATAATTATACATTTTCTCATGCTGTACGTTCATAATTTAATTTTTTTTGTCAGTATCCTCCAGATATTTTTAAAAAATGTTTTATCATTTATCTTTGATTTGATATGTGAAACTTACCTAAACTAGTTTTAAATGACAATTTAAAATTTATTGTTTACAATTTTAACCTAGTTTACATGTAATTAAGAACTTATTAAAATGTAATGAGTGAATGTGTAAGTGATTAAATAGAAGTGTATTTTAAAGTTTTTCCCTCTTGTCATCCTGTATACTACCTTGGTCTGTGTGCAGCATGCATAGTTATATACATATAAATTTTGATCCATATACTACACATTAATATTCATTTTCTGAACTTAAATTAGGTAAAAAAGGTGGCTACTCTTTGCAGAGATTCTGCTTCTGAATGTGATCTTCCAGAATTTTGTGATGGTGTGTCTGAATTTTGCCCAAGTGATATATTTCGTCAGAATGGTGAAGAATGTGGCAATGGCAAGGTAATTCCTCTTACTGATAAGTGACTTGTTACTTGCATAAGGTACAAGTAATTTTATTGATCTAGAAATTGCAGTTAATTATAATGGTAAAAAGTTCTGTTTATAGAATTGGGTAACAAAGAAATGATGGTTTCAGTATTTAGAAATTCTGCTCTGCTCTGTAGAGTAGTTAGAAAAAGCTGCCTAACCTGAAATCAAAGATGTGGATTTGATTTTTGTCTAAGGTTTGTCTTTAATACATGCTGTAATCTTTTCTTCCTTACTCCCAGGTGCAGTATTATCACCTTTTGGTCAAGATTTTTAGTGATGAAATGCTAAATGACTTATTCATTATTGCAGTGTATTAAAATGAATTCAGTATGGAAATATGAGGAAGAATGGAATTATATTTGCAAGAAAACTAAAAGTTTTATCTTTTTGCTTAATTAATATGAGGTTTATGGTATGTTGCTTTTGCTGGATCACAAGGCATGATATTAAAAGCTTTTTGATTTCATAAATTGCTTTTCTGTATGTTTTATAATAGTAGTTGTAATTATGGGTATTTTATAACATATGATAAAATAATTCTATAAGTATAGCTTACTATAGTATTTTCTGTTGTAATAAATTTAGCATGTTTTGGAAATAATGACTATTTGTAATTATGTCTATTTTATTAAAATAATACTCCTTTTTAAAAATGTCATTGAAAGTCTTAAAAGTGCATTAGTAAAAAATTTTTTTTGTGTGTAATAAAACTGCAAGTCTTGGAAGATAAATATGTGATGTATGCATGAAAATTTTCAGAGGTCATTAGCCAGCCCTCTGCATGTGTAATTTAGTTAAACACTTGAAAAACTGCTTTAGTATATTACCAGTAGAGCTTTTGAGTTTCAAGAGTAACTTTAAAAATTATATTGAAATTTGTAAATAATTTTTATCATTTGAAATACATAAAATGGGTGGGTGAAATTATAATAAATGAGAAATTTCAGAGTCAAAAAATGCCTTTAAATGAGGAAGAATCATAGAAATCTTAGAAACTTTTTATACTCTTTGTGAATTTAATATATTTGTTTTGCATTCTATATATTTCCATTTATTTATTGTTTTTACTAATGATTACTTAGTTTAAAAAAATACTCAGTTTTGACATTTAAATCTCTGTGAGAAAAAATTATTTTGTATGAACATAATTTGTATTCATTGAGATAATTACTTTTGCTTTTGAATGGCATTTCATTTCTTGCAAATTTATTACTCTAAATGCTAAATTCTTTTAAATGTTAAATAGAAGCTAAATTTTTGACATTTTTTGAAGAAATATGAAAATAATGTCATTATACTTTTCCCCTCCCCTAGGCATACTGCTATGATGGACGGTGCCAGTCGCATCTTGATCAATGTCGGCTTCTTTGGGGTCAGACTGGGAAAATGTCTGATTTAAGGTGTTATGAGCAAAACTACAAAGGAAATGTGAATGGAAATTGTGGCTATAACAGAATCAACTCGACATATAAAGCTTGCAGAAAAGAGTTGGTTTCTTTTTCTGTAATAAAGTTAAATTATATAATAGGCAGTTTAAATGTTTATAATTGTAATTACTGAATCTAATAATATCTATATTACATTCTGTTACTTACAGTATTTAACACAATGACATGATAGGGGAGAATAAGAACCTTGCATATGTTAACATGTCTTAGACCTGGTTACATTAACTATAAATTATAGCTCTGACTTCCTTTATTAGAAGTCCTGTGACTAATATATGCTGAAACTGACAAACCTGCATTTCCAATTTTTTCATACACTTAGAAATTTGAATTCATAAGAAATAAAATCGCGTATATGTTTATTGCAATGATAAGAATTGAGTTAAGCAAGTGGATTGTTTCAAATTTTATCAGGAAATGAAAGTGAGCAGCTCTTTAGATATGAGCTTTCTTATTTGACTGTTTGTCACCTGCTACTACATGGAATAGTTTTATTTTACATGTTTAATATGCAGCATGTTTAATGAAAAAGTTTTAATGTATTTGATACATTTGTAAATGCAGACTTACTGAAATAGAAAATCTTTCTGGAAGAGGGCTTCAACAAGAAAGCATAAAATGCAGCTCCATTTTTTTTCAATGTTTCGTGTGAATAGGTATAATTATAGCAAAAGTGGCTGTCATTGCATAAGATGCTTTGATTCTAAAGGTCCATTAGTGTGCAAACTCGTGAGTTAGTCCATGAGTGTGGCAGAATGGTAGTTCATCATGAGTTCTGTTCTGGCCAATGAATGAGTTGGCTGCCATACTGAATTTTTTCATATATGTAAGGTGAATTCAAGGATTTTCCATTTGAAAGGTTCTCTGTAAAAGCATAGTTGTCTTTATGCAAATCGATCTCATATGCTTTGGCATAATTGAATAGATCTAGCCCATCAGTTCAGTTTTGTATTACTTTCCTGAAACTTAATTTTTTTTAAAGTAACTGACTATTTAATTTTGTAAAAATATTCAATCTTGTGTATGATAAAAAGCATTTTATTTTCATTTTTAAGTTTTTGTATACAATTATACATTTAATCAGTTCAATACTATTATGTTCTGATAATACAAGTATAAATCATATGCATATTTTTGACTTAAATTTTGACTTAATTTTAAGTTAATAATTATTTAAAATAAATGTCTGGGTTATTAGTAAATTAAATAAATATACAGAATTTATCTCTTGGATTTTGAGTCAAATGTTTTCGAATTCCCGAATTTGAAAATCCACGTTTTGAGTTATACAGGATGCGAAACCATATTTTAAAATAGTTAGCTCATATGAAAAGTTGATCTTTTTAATTAATTAATAAAGTTTTAATTTGGTTTTGAAAATAAGCCTTTTGCATTATTAATTCATACAATCAAGCAGTTTGATATGAAATATATTTCCTCTTCAAGAAGTTTTAAGCTGAAAATATTATTTATAGCACTTCTTAAGTTAAAAGCTAGGCAGAGGGAAAATTAAAACAGTCTGAATTAAATATTAATATGCATGTAGTAAAGAATGTTTAGGACACAGAACTAAGAATGCCTGATTTGTAAGGAATGGACAAAATTTTATAGGGACACTATTTTATAGGGTCAAATCAGAACCATTCCCATTCGCTCACTGAAGTGAATTGATTCTTTTTTATGTCTAACAATGACCTTGAAGGAAAAGTACCAGAATAATGGGTGAATCTCGAGCGATTAGGGAGGATGAAGTGAGGAAAGAATGAAATGAGCAGTCTGATTGGGACCGGTTAACAAGGTTGGAGCGACCAGCAGAAAGAATCGGGAAAGCTTGGGATTGGGTAAATTGACTGAATTTTTAAACTGTAGTTTTGAGATTCCCTAAAACCGCTTTTCTACACAGACATAACAGTAAAATTCTATAATAACAATTTTTCAGACAGTTGGGAAATGATAAAAAATAAACTTTCTTTTAGCATGGGAAGATAAACATTCTTTTCTCCCTTAAAATCGAAATCAAACTTTCCTTGCATGCTTCCAATAGAGCTCCATTATTTTTCTCTGCTATCAGTGTTTACTCACTCAGTACAATGCATCAGTTTGTGAACAAATAGCAGTTTTCTATTCCTGGTATGCTTCCAACAAGAGCTGTCTGTAAAATGTAAAAGAGCTACAGCTCTCCAGAACTGTTCCTAGGCCATTGGCTGTCTGCGTACTTTCCTAAGATTGCTCTCTCCAAATTTAAAAAAAAAAAAAAAAAAAAAAAGCTCAATGATTAATAATTTTTTTATTTAATGCTCACCAAGTACTTATATATGGCAAATTGTATAAAAAGTACTTACAATGAATATAAAAATTTACGGCCACGAGGAATGGCCCTGCAGCTCCCTTTTCTGGAATTGAAGTAAATTTTCTCAATAAAGGGAATCAGTTCTGTAGCAGATTGTCCGAATTTAGATAAAATCTTAGTTTTAAATCTTTATTATTGACGTCTTAAAATTTATAGGTTGTTCTTCCCTTCAGGAACTCCTGTATTCTATCCATATCTTCTGAATTCATAATTGTTTGCTTTATAATTTCACTATTTTTTTCACATGTATATGACTCAAAATAATTCTTATGCTATATACAGTAGAATGTTTCTTAAAAAATGCTGACATTTTTGTTCTTTACATATTTTCAGTGATATTTTGTGTGGGATGCTGCATTGCACTCATTTGAATGAAAGACTAGAATTTGGTATGGAATCTGCTGCTATATTAGCTCGTTCGTTCATCAATGTCAGGGGGAAAATATTCACATGTAGATCAGCAATCGTTGATTTGGGATTATTTAACACTGACCCTGGGCTAGCACCAAATGGCGCCAAGTGTGGAGAAGGAAAGGTAAGAAGACCTGTTTGTCAAAAGTTTTTAAGATGTATGTACATGTATGTAGGTTATATACTATGTGTGTGTGGTATAATTTTTTCATATGTATACTTCCATTTGTAAGATAATATAACAATATATATTCTTTATAATACCATTTTCATATTTCTTTAATTTGATAAGATACATTTAGTTATTTAAGTTGTACCCCGTAGTTTTTGGTACCATTGTTTGGGAAGAGTACCAATTCTTAGAAAAAATTTAATTAAATAAAGAACAAAATTAATTAAATAAGATGTTAAAATAAATTATATCTTATAAATATTTTTATTACAGGAGATTTCAGTTTATTAACAACTGTATTTATTTATCAGTATTCATTACTTCCTTTTGAATCAGCATCTTTATCTGATTCTTTAGAATTACCATATCTGCACCTTAATATAAAAAATATGCTTCACATTTAGAGTCTCAGCTTTAGTGATGCAACATTCTTACATACAGACTTAGAAAGAAGGTTATAGTAATAAACTGATATCATATCAAGAAGCAAGTCGAAAGATTAAGAAATGTATCTTCTTTTCACATTTTTATTGAAACTTAACAACACATACACAACATTACACTAACAACATACAAAGCTCACACACAGTGAAGGAGCTTGATGTTGCTAACATGGTAAAGATAAATGTTCCAAACTGGCACGTCTCCTTACATTTATATTTACTAATTACAAATAAACATAGATATAAGCAACCTTTTCATTTTTACCTATTACAATTGAGCATAGATATAAACAATAACATTCAACTCGTAACACAAATTATTTCAAAAAAAAAAAAAAATTATTTCATTAACTTAAATGTTAAAATCAAAGTTAAACACAATTTAGTTTTACATAAGGACATTACCAAAATCTATTTCATTTCAAGCAAATATATTTAAATAAAATCACTTAAATAAACAGTATACAAAATTTATTTCAATTTCAAACCTTCTCTAAATTTCATAAATTTAATCTTTCCTAAAGACTTAGTAAAGATATCTGCAATATTTGATTCTGAATCAATCTTTACAATTTCAATTACTCCATTTTGAACATTTTCGTGAACATAATGTGATATTGAACTTCTATGTGTTTTGAATTTTTAGTGAAGTTCCCATAATTAGCAATGGCCAAAGCTCCTGAATTATCTTCATAAATTTTAATGGGGTGAGTTATATCAGCAAAAACATCATCATTCACAACATTTTTCAAGAAATTAATTTCTGTCACAGCCTCAGATAGAGCAATATATTCGGCAAAAGTGGAAGATTTTGTCACACAATTTTGCTTTTTGGATTTCCAGTAAATTGGATTACCAAATAATTCAATAACAAACCCAGTAGTTGACTTTCTGTCAACAATATCACCTGCCCAATCAGCATCAACATAACAATTCATAATATCAGTTTTAAGATTTTTACTATAGGTTAATTTTAGATGTTTTGTTAAGTACAAATACTTTAAAACTCTCAAAGCATATTTGAAATGTGTCTCATCATAACAATTTTGAAATCTACTTAAATAATTTACGCTGAAAGATATGTCTGGTCTAGTACCATGACTAATATACAAGAGTGCTCCTATTAGATTTCTATATTTGACATTTTGATTTAAATTAGATTGGCTTAGTTTAAGATTAATCTCCATTGGTGTATCATAAAGCTTTGAATTTTTAATACCATACAGTTTAGCTAAAGATTCAATATAATTTTCCTGAGTGTTAAGATATTAGTACTTTTCTCATTATCATATTCAATATCAATTCCAATGTAGCTTTTTACTTTATTTAAATCCTTCATTTTAAATTTATTTATGTAGTTGTTCCTTAATATCATTAATTACCCGAGTATCTTTGCAACATATCAACAAATCATCAACAAAATAAAAGAATATATACAAATACATCATTTTCAGATTTTACATAAAGACAATAATCATATTTACTTCTACGAAATCCTAGACTCTCAATATACTCGTTAAAACACTCATACCAAGCACGAGGGCTTTCTTTCAACCCATATAGTGCTTTCTTTAATTTATACACTCTATTCGAATTATCATTATAGCCTTGTGGCTGTTTAACATAAACCTCAGACACAACATAACCATTTAAAAAGGCAGTCTCAACATCCATTTGATGAATATTTAAATTATACTGACAAGAATATGAAAGTAACAATTTTAAGGTTTGCATCTTAATGACAGGGGAGTAAGTATCCTCAATACTATCTTTTTGCTGGAAACCTCACGATCTGGAACCACTAATCTAGCTTTAAAAACATTACCTGGTTTTCTTTTGAATACCCACTTCACATCTAGAATTGCTTTATCCTCTGGTTTAGTCACTAGTGTCCAAGTGTTATTTTTTAACAAGACTGTTCATTTCACTGTCCATTGCCTCTTTCCAATGTCCAGCCTCACTGCATGTTGTCGCCTCCTCAAAGTTACCTGGAACTGTAGCATCACAAAAATTTGCACTAACACAGTAGTACCCGAATTCTTCATGAAATCGAACTGGTGGTTTGATTTGCCTTCTTGGTGTCATTCCGCTTTTTGTTTCATCTTCATTTATCACACTGTCCTTGGAGTTATCATTACTCGATTCATATGACACTTCTTGATGTTCATTCTTTTTTATTTGTATCATCTTTCTAATAGTAGTAGGGATAACTGAGATTTGATCTGTGTTGACAAGCCTTAATATGTTTATTGGAAGCTCTTCATGCCAATCATGCACTGTGCAACTCTGTGCTGTTTTAGCCATCAACTTTCTTTGCATAAATCAAGATTTCCCCCTTCTCCGTAGTCTAAAATGTTTCTGTTGATGGAAAATTTATGTCACAGAGCAAATTCTCTGTTTACGAAATAAATGGCTTTGAGAGGTTGTAAAACGTTTGCAGATCCTCTTTGTTGCATGTGTGATGAATTAAGGGTGGAAATGAAAAAAATATAATGAGTTTCGTTCAACAAGTGTACCTCACTTATTTCAGTGTGAAAATAGGACATAAGATAAAAGTTGGCCACCCCACTATGTTTGCTACATATGTATAGAAGGACTTAGTGGGTCCTTCTATACATATGTAGGTGAATAAAAAGCATTCAGATTTGAAGTTCTAGTAGTGAGGCAAGAGCCATGAAATCACAGCAATGATGGTTCCTTTTGCTTGACTGGTGTTCGTGGTTATAATATGAAGGAAAGAAAAAATTGTGTATCCAAATGGGACATCTGCTTTATGCCTCATGGTCTAGACATACCAGTGCCAATTCAACCAGAAAATTTACCTCAAATAGATGGTTCCTTAAGTGATTAACATTGAAGAGAATGAACCAAGTGATAACTGTGCACCAGAGCTTTTTTCACAATTTGAACTAAATAATTGTAAACTTGCATCTGTGCAATGAAAATTCAGAATTGCTCAGTTCAAGGCTCAAAGAGGAGAACCTGCTTGCAGCTGTTACTTCATTTTTCTACAGGTATAGAGGAAAGAATTTTCTTTCATATTTTTCAGAAGAAGAAAACTTTGTCTTCTGCACTGATATACATGCTTCATAGCTGACCTTACAATGGGAATACATATGCATCAGTATCCATTGAACATTCTGTCCATTTAATAGAGCATCACAGAGATTTAGAATTCATTCTTGATAAAATTAAATACGGTGATCATAAGTGGATTACGTGTGGCAGTCTCAAAATAATATCGATGCTCCTAGGACAGCAAGGAGGCTACAAAAATGTATGTTATTTTTTATGTGTATAGGAAAGTAGAGACACTCAGAAAGAGAAAGCTGAGAGAAAAATCACTGGATAAAGAAAGACTGGCCGAAAAGGGCAAAAGAACTTGGAACTAAAAATATGCTTTGAAAAGCTGTCATAAATCCGAAGAAAGTTCTCTTTCTGCCTTCCGATATCAAGTAAGGCTTCATAAAGCAATTTGTCAAAGCCTTTTACAAAAGGAAGGTCAATGTTTTAAATACATCTGCGACAAAATTCCAGCCTTATCACCACCAAACTAAAAGAGGGTGTTTTTTACTGGTCCTGATATTTAAAATCTTCTCAAAGGTGGTAATTTTTGGGAAAAACAAAAGTTATGCCATAAGTATCCCGAGGGGTCTAAATCATTGAGAACATGCTGCAGAAGAACAAAAATTCAGGCTGCTTCATGAGTTTAAAATTTCAATTCCTAAATTCACATTTGTACTATTTCCTGAATACCTGGGTGCCATTAACAAGAACATGGGTGAGCGATTTCATCAAACCATCAAATAAATAGAAAGGAAGTATCAAGGAAAACTTCTCAAAGATGGTACTTTTGAGGCAAAATAGAAGGTTATGCAATAAGACCCTGAGGAATCTTTAAAAGCTTAGTAACCAAGTTACTGAATAATAAGAAAGTTCCAAACTTTAAATCATTGAGAACATGCTGCAGAAGAACAGAAATTTAGGCTGCTTCATGTGTTTAAAAGTTCAATTCCTAAATTCGCATTCGTACTATTTCCTGAATATCTGGGTGCCATTAATTAGCAAAGATATGGGGGAGAGATTTCATCAAGTCATCAAAGAAATGGAAAGGAAGTATCAAGGGAAATGGACTTCTCTGATGATGGCTGACTATTGCTGGGTATTACACTGAGATAAACCCCATCAAAAATATAAAAGGAAAAGCGCAAAGCTGAGCCTGTGCGTTCCACAGGAACATTGACACATGAAATAAAACTGTGTATTTTACATACATTGTCTTAGTATAAGCTTTAAAAAACTTTAAAAAATGTTTCAAGTCTCACATTTTCACAATTTTTCGACTTTTTACAAATTTTGAAATTTATGATTTTCAAAAAAAACCTAATTGATGTGGAAAAGTGAACGTCATTTTCGGATTCAGTGCTAAAAATACATAAGAATCAATTAACAAAAGTTAAAACATAACACAACCCAAATTTTGCAGGTTTATGTAATTGAAAGAATCTTAACTTATAATGACACAGAGAAAATATGTAGCAATTTAACCTTGAAAAAGTGAAAGATATAATTTTGGAGGTGTTAAATAGAATTTTTAGCATGAAACTTTGAATACTGTGTATGAGCTGCCAGCTCTTTACTCCCTTCTTATTGCATATACAATCAAACCTGCTGTATGAAAATTAATCTAAGTGAAATTTTTGTTCCCATCCAATTTGCTTTTTGCGTAATGTCATTTTATATAAATATATTGATGAAATTGTATTTAACAACCTTTATTGATATCAATAAAGATATAGTATATGTCATTTTATATGATTATGTATTATCATATAATTTATATCAATATCTTTTCACATAATGACATTTTATATGAATATAGTGATGAAATTGTGTTTAACAAACTTTATAATTCCAAATCAAGTAAAATTTTGGAAACAAAAAGTTGATTTAGTATCCTATAAAGGTGTATGTGTGTTTAAGGAATATTATATTTAATAAATATGTATTATTTGTGCATTTATTAATGCATAAATTATACTGTTATCATATTTTCTGCAGATAATTAGTAATTCTTTCCAATGATTTCACTGCAGTTTCTTGATATATGACTAACATTTTCAGCATTTGCAGGTCTCATGATTGCAATCACAGTTATTTCTATGCTGCTAGATTTATGATATAATCTGAATCTGACAATCTGGTGCTGAACAATGTCACCCCCCCCCTACGAAAGCAAAATTAGACCCTGAAGAGTAAATTACCAGCTAGTTGAGAATACCTGCTATAGTTTCTTTTAATCTCGCTTTTCACTTATAGAAGCAAGGAAAGTGGGTGTTAGAAGCCATCGAAGAAATCCTGAGTTCTGGACTTCAGAATGGTTTAAGTGTACTCTGCATTGATATTTAATGTTAAATAATTTATCTTGTGATGAAAACTGATTAAGAATAACACAAATTTTACGACTTCTCACAATAATAGCAATGAACTCCTAATTTGTCCCCAAATTTCTGTTATTATTTGTATCTCATGCTAAGTGGGACAATGCTAATCATATTTTGTTTTTATATCCATCAGCTGACTTTTATGAGATTTTTTTATGTGTACGTGTTGATCGTATGTAACTCAGGGATCTAGTGAACTATGTGTTTATTGTAGGGGCTTTGACTGTACTAATAAAAATGAACTCATAGCTGTGCTTGGTGCTTAAATGATTGGTGTAGATGCTATATTTAGATATAATATTTATTGAAAGTATATGAAAACATTTCTTGAGTATTGTAAATAGTAAGTAATTATGACTTATTTTCCTTTATGCAAATGAATTCTTTTTTAGGCCTGTGTAAATCAAAAATGTGTACCTGTTAGTTCTATGAGAAAAAATGACTGTCCTTATGATTGCAGTGGCAATGGCGTAAGTAAACTATTTTATTTATGCTTATAGATAATTTTTGTGTTCTTAAAAGTAAAAAAAAAAAAAATAGGTAATTTTATATAGCTTTAATAATTTGAAATTTTTGATAAGTTGAATGGAATGTTCTGGCTGACCAATGTATTAAAAATTAACATTAACTTTTCTTTATAAGTCAGATTTCTTTAACTTGATTGATCAAAATATTCAGTTGAACTTGTCCAAATGATACTGAAATAGTTTTCTTAGCATTTCTTTCTTGTAAGCCAATCAGATGTTATCCCTTAAGTGTGGTTGTTATGGCCCAAATTTTCTCCATAGAAACCTGAAATGTGAAGCAGTTTACACTCCTATGTATTTCTGGCATATTTTAGTCATTCCTACAAGCAACTTTATTGTAGTGACTGTATTCTATTGTAATCTTTAATGGCAGATGCCTCCCATAGAACACAACCTCCAGAAGTGGCAAAAATATTTATAAATATTTATAAACAGCAGTATTAAACATTGAAGAAAATTGTTATTTTTGAGATGGAATATTTTTTAAAACATTTTTTTGGTCATGTTGTTTTATTTACATTTTTAAGCAATATTTCTGTAGATGACAAAAAATATAATATTGTAAAAAAGTGTTTAAATTTCATTAACTTTCTTGAATATATGGTATTTCATTCTTTCACAGAAACATACGATTTCAAGCTGTTATAAGCAACAATTTTAAGCTGTTATAAGCAACAATTTTGTAATGCAGGTAAAAATCTGCATTTTTGATTTGAGTTATGTTGACTTTTTAATTATTACATGCAGTACATTTGTGTGCATTTGCCCCTCTTGCTTTGTTAAGTAAATGTATGTGCATTTCTACATAGAATAACTAGATGTTTGTAGTGGAATTTGCTGTAATTCTATTTCACTCAGGTTTTTGATTACTTGATATTTTTCTTGCTGCTTTGAATTTATAGCTTATCAAAGTTTAACTGTATAGTGTGAGAAATTTTCGTTTTATTATTTCCATTAGAGTTATAATTTTGCTGGAAAATCTCAGGAAAAACATTTAACAGTAATGTTTAAATAATGCTATAAGAACTGTTTTATTAGGTCATGACATGTATTAAAAATGTGTTAAACTTATATGTGGTAGAACTATTTTATTAGGTCATGACATGTATTAAAAATGTGTTAAACTCATATGTGGTAGATATATATTCGTTTTCATATGTGTCACATTTAGGAATTTATGAACTTGTAATATGTACTTTTAAAAGTTTTATTACATTTTGTTTTTTATATGTACGATATTAAAAATTATTCTGATAGTGGGACAGAGCATGGGTTTTTTTGTTACATAATGCAATGTATGTTAAATATCTGGCATTAATTTTCTTAAAATAATTTTTGGGAGAAGAGAAGAAGGTTTTTAATTAATCTATTTTAGTGTCTGAAAGAAAGGATGGAGGAATAGGAAGACTGTTCAACTTTCCATTTCTTTTCACTTGAAATTTTTTAAGTAAAATGTTTTTAACTTGTATTTGTAATCATTAATTGTTAATAATTATATTTATTATTTTCCTGTGGTATTGTTGTTTCCTTCTGTCCTTTTTTTCCAGGGTAACTATATATGATAATTGTAGTGATAAATGTGCAAAATGCAGTTATAAGTGTGTGTGAAAATGTTTGAGAAGCTGGTGCCTAGAGTCTGCATAGTACACTATTTCATTGACATTTTAAAGTTTTTTTCAACTCTGATACTAATTGTAAATCCGATTTGTAGCCATTCATACTTTTTGGGCACTGATACAACTATCTGTAATACCTATGTTAGATGTTTTATACAGTTACCTTAAGAATCCTAATGCTAGTCATTTCTTCAGCTGTTAAATGGCTTATTTATTTCACTCCACTGAAAAGGTTACCAAGATACACTTCTTTAATGTTGTTATTTCTAACATTTGTGTCACTGGGTGAGTTTATTAACTTGTTGAATAAAGTATCAATTACCCACAATGTAAAGTTGATTTTCACCTCCTTAACCTTTTCCCGGGGACTGGGACGTGTATGTCCCAAGTATACAGCAACTGGTGGCTGAGGACAGTTTCTCGCTGGTGCAGGGGTAGGAATTCTAACACTTGAGGCTTGAAGACTATTTTACCACACCTCGGAAAGTGCGTTCTTTTGAGGGATTCCACTAATGGGTAGGGAAAAATTGTCTGTATTTTATTTTGAACCCACGTCGCTTGTTTGCGAATTTGGTATCTTCGAGGAAATATTTTGTTGAGAGGAGAAAATAAAAATAATAATTTATTACTTCTTGTGCGTTTACATTTTAAGATCTTCCTTCAGTTTTTTTTTTCTGTTGCACTTTTATTAAATCTTTCACTTGATATTTATCATTTTTTCAAGCTCGGTTTTAAATAATGACTAAACATAAAGGAAATTTACTTTGTTTCATTCTTTTCATAATTATTTTTTCAATTTATTCCAGTTTTTAATGTGCATGGAAAAGCAGTGTAAAGAATATAAACTTCTCAGGTTATGAAAAGTGTTATTTCTAAATAGCATACATTCTACGACTACTGTTTACTTTAGTGAAATTTTGGTTTGTTGTGTTCTAAATGATAACTAGCAACCGAGCGGATAAAATTTCTTTAACACTGATAACTCAACCTGATTCAAATTCTGATGAACAGAGTGACTGCATGAACTTTTTGTGTTTTCTCATACATGTGAGATACACGAGCCAATTTCCTTCTAATGTCTTCCATGAAAAACCCCTTCACTTAAGCAGGTAACCTTTTCTTTAACCCCACAAATAAAAATAAAATTATATTAAAAAAAAGAAAGCTGACCTTATGAGTGTGAAATAACTATATTTAGAAAAACTTCCTTTTATGAATAATTTTGGTGACAAAATAAATTTCAACTGTGCGACAAGTGAAAAACAAATTTTTATTGAAGCAATTAGTGTAAAAATTTTTATAATTAAAAATTTAAAAAATCTGAAAACTTATTAATTTATCCATTGTTATATATTTGTGTCTGTACTATATTTCAGAAAGTATATACATTAGTTTCTGCTTTCTGAAATAGAAATTTTTCTGAAATGAATGAAATATGAATGAAAAAATGAAATAGAAATATAAATTTTTCTGCTTTTCTTAGTTAAGTTAATTGAACATGTGAATTCACATGAGGCTGCCTTTCTAAGGGAAAGGATGCCATCGTGGAGAACTTTTAAGGGAAACTCCATCTTTCTCCTTTTTTGAATCATGTTTCTCTCTCTTCATGTTTCACACGGGGAAAACAAGGAAAACCAACTATGTAGCCAGCTCAATCGCCTGGCCTCGAACCCAAGTTGAACTACCAGTATTCAGCAGTTTTGACCACTGAGTCACATGTAGTGCTAAGAAAGTAATTAATTTTTACATGAGAATTGTGTTTTGGAGGGAATCGAGCAAGATATTAGGATACTAAGCATGTATACAGGAGTTCAGATGCATACTGTTTTTTTAGTTCCCTGAATTTAATTCTCAGTACGAATCTTTATTAATACTCATCACCTCAATACAAAGCTTCATTACTCCAAAAGAAAACAACAATAAAAAGTTTGAGATCTGAAAATTTCACATAACAATCTGATACCTCAAAGGTGATTTTAGCTTTCGGAAAATGCTAATGAAGTCTAGCGCTAGGAATGGAGACAAATAAAAAAGCAGAGATTCATCTGGATTAACATATATTGAAATACAAAATCATTATAAGCATAGTAAATTTTACATAGTAAGCATGGTAAAGTAAACCAGTGACAAAAACTGAAACCGTTGCTAAAAAGGAGAAATAAAAATCGTGTTGCCACACATGTTGGAAAATACAAATGAGAAATGTAATCACAAATTAAAAGTTATTTGCAACACTCCCTCTTGATTAAATTTCCCTCACTTCTACACTGAACCTTTGATTGAACAAGGCTTTCTTTTGCACACTCTTTTGTCAACATGTCTGCTCCATTTGAACTAGAAGGCACATAGGTAAAGTTCAACAACTTCTCTTGAACCTTCTCTCTCAAGAAAAAATACCTGAGTTTAATATGTTTGTTATGCTCTGAAGTGACATGGTTTTTTAGCTAAAGAAATGGCACCCTGATTATCAACAAGTAAGTTTTGTGGAAAGTTTAAAAAATGTTCTCCCACAATTTCCTTTAAAAACTTTTGGAACCACAGTACTTCCTTGGCTGCGTAGCACATTGAGAGGCACTCAGCTTCAACTGTTGACAATGCAGTCATCTGTTGTTTTTTACTGCTCCATGGGACAGCTCCACCTGCTAGTAATACCACATAGCCACTAAATGATCATCTATCAATTTTATCACCAGCCCAATCACAATCGTAGAACACTTCCAAATCCTTTCTACTCTTTTGGAAAGTGAGCTTAAATTCATTGGTCCGTTTTGATGAAGTCTGGCGTTAGGAATGGAGACAAATAAGCAGAGATTCATCTGGATTAACATATATTGAATTACAAAATCATTATAAGCACAGTAAATGTTACATGGTAAGCATGGTAAAGTAAACAAGTGACAACAACTGAAAACGTTGCTAAAAAGAAGAAATAAAAATTGTGTTGCCACACATGTTGCAAAATACAAATGGGAAATATAAACACAAATTAAAAGTTATTTGCAATGTGTTTTAGATAACGAAGGATATGTTGTATACCAGCCCATTGTTTCTTGCTTGGGCATTTATTGAATTGGCTCATGTAAGTAGCAGCAAAAGCTAAACCCGGTCTTGTTCCTCCTGGTAGGTACAAGAGGCCTCCGACAGCCTGCATATATTTTAATGTTCCTTCAGCATATGCTATCCTTAGTGGATGTTGCATATTTCATACCTGGATGTAATGGTTTTGATGCTCTTTTAGCATCTTGCATAATAGTTGTTTCCAAGAGCTCACTAGCATAGACACTTTGGTCAAGAGTCACACAGCCATCTTCCTTTCTGCTTTATCCT